TGTATTGTTCTTTTATCGCCTACCGTTTACGATTTAATGCAGTAAGTTTATTGCCTCTTATCAATTCCGCCAAGGTCAAGGCGGCGGACCCTGATTGAGGGCACTGTGAAATCGAACGACAACCTCCGAGCATTATGTTTCATAGTAGTAGTATGTGTAGTACCAGGCCTGTTCATCTCCGCGAGTTTACATCGAAAACAAAACACGCACGATTGCCCCCTACCCTACAAGAGTACTATTCGACAAGGCCTCACATACGAGCGAACATTGACTCACGCACGCGTATTCTTGTGTATGATGGAAAAAAATAAAGAAAATGGTGTACTAAATACTGTGCAGTATTTAACTGCCTAAATAATAATAAAAACACAGAATGTACTTTTTTAAGTTGCCTCAAGACACTGAGAGGTAAATAAGTAGTTAATATTATTCATGATAATTCATGCTAAATCATGTATTTCCTCCGCCATTTTCTGCAGATTGGCACCTCACGTCACATCATTTTACCGAAGTCAGCCCTATAGCTTCGGCGCAGTACCGATCACTGACGTTTGTCAACAAAACTTCTGACAAACTTGCTTGACTCTTGAGACAAGCTAAATTACACCATATTGTTAATGACATTGAGCATACATTTTTTTAAATACCTTCGCGAAGTAAAACTTCTGTACGTAGTACTTATTATTATTCTGTGGTAGTACCTATGACGCAAGGACAAATTCATAGAGATTATAGAATGTGCGTCCTTCGGCATTTATGATGCCTTAGGGATGTTATGATATAACTCGGCGGAATTTGCGTGTAGCCTTGGTAACTCATGTGTTGGTTATGTCATTTTAATGTAGAGATGATTTCATTTATTCATTTTAATAGGCAGTGAAACGAGTACTCTGCTGTTGTATTAGTAATTTTCACAAATAAATATACACTAAGCATATTGGTGCCCAAGTGAATGTTCATAATTTGCAAAATGGTAGGTACTGAATTTATGAAAAAATAGGATACCGTGAAAATAGGATCCTATTGCCATTACAAATTACCGAATCTACAAGGGAATCGCGTTTTTATCTTTATATATAAAAATGAAACCCGTTTCGCGTTGTCACGGCATCACGTGTGAACGGCTGAACCGATTTCGATAATTCTTTTTTTTAAATATTTGTGGAAGTCCAAGGATGGTTCTTACGGAAAAAATATTAAGAAAATCTCTACGCTAAGGCGGTACGAAGTTCGCCGGGTCAGCTAGTATCTAATAAAAATTTATCAATTATTTAAAAGGTGTGAACTGCTTAATTACAAGTGGGGATTAGGTCATATGAATCATACCCAGGGGAACTGTGTTAATTAAAATTGAACGAAACATTATTGAGTGTAAATGTGTCATTTCACAATAATTTTGTTGCCATAATAACATTATCATATGACCCAAAACAGCGAGCTCTGTTCACCAGACAGAAAGGGTATTGTCGGTTTATCATTTATTCGTTTATTGTTTGTTATTGTTTCAACAATTTAACCATAAAACGATGTTTTAAGTTTCCCTTGAGCAAGAGTGTATTTGTATAACATTATTTAAGATTTTTCATAACTTAGGGTACGTTTTCCTAAGCGACACGGTGATGAAAAGGCTGGCAGCTATTTCGGTCAGAGAATTAACCTGGCCATTCAACGTGGCAATGCTGCCAGCCTTTTGGGCACCATTCCTGACTGTGGCGCTGGGGGTGAAGTATTTTTTATTTTGTAAATAGTTTTTATCATTAGTAATTTTTTTCAATGAAAAAATAATGAAGAAACTTTTAACTCAGAAAAAGGGACTTTCAACTCGTCTCCCAGTTACAGGATTTCCTAGCCTGTTTTTTAAATCTACGATTCACTATTTGACCCTGAGTTTACCCACGTGGCTTTCGATTTGTCATACCGCTGCTGTCTTGGGTTGTTTACTAGTTTTTTGTCATACCTGGTCTAGACGACCTGGAACAGAGCCATTCCTTATGAATGGCAGACAATGGGCCTAGCGCCAGGGATGACGAATACCAAAGGGAAAACTGGATAATTTATGATTTCTGAAAGTGTCTTACGATATGACGGGTGGGACTATTGCCATTGGTTTAATTTGTGTGTAAAAATGGCTTAACGGACAACTTTTTTCTTTTTTTTTTAATCTTTGGACAATTTCACACAGCGCCAGCTAGCCCCAAAGTAAGCAACTTAATGCTTGTGTTATGGGTGCTAGCTTAACGGATATACTACTTATATACTTTTTTTTAAATACATAAATAATATACATAGTCACACCCAGACCCGTCACAGAAATTAAAATTCATCATTTCAATTTCTGCCCGGCCGGGAATCGAACCCGGGACCTCTCGGCATAGTAGTCCGTTCTGAACCACTACACCAAACGGCCGACGCAAACTAATCACAGTGTCTATTTTTCCTGAGTTTGAATATAATTTTGCCAGTGTCCATTCCATCTAGTTTTCTATTGAGAACTTACCAATTAGTGTTCTAAAATAAGTACAAAAGTTTCTCCATCTCCACAACAGGCGACCTTGCACGCACAATTAACATTTGCCGATGTTGCTATTGTGCGCCATAAAGCACCCATAAACGCGGAACAACGGGCGCAGTCACGTGCGAGAACATGTATGCGTTAACACATACAGTTTTACGATCTGTTGTCCACCCGTTGCGTAAACAGTGCGGTTTTCATTTACATAATAATGATAAAATCGATCTCGGTTACTATGCCAAGAGCTGGCCGCTTTGGACGAGCGCTGTGCAATTTAGAATAAAAATAAAAAACAAAAACTGGTTGAATTCATTTGTTTTTTTTTTAGTCACTGGGAGACTCTTTTTTCATCAAATGAACTATCTTTTGGTCTCAATCTGACCCAAACAGAGCAGATATGATAGAGCAAGTTTGCCTGGAAGATTTCAAGATGTAATTTCATGGGCAATCACTTTACGCAATTGTTTTTTATGCATAACAAAGCAGGTATTTGATCACAGTCGCAATCCATTATAAATTTACATTAGGATTGTGACATAAACAAACAATCGTTTAAGTTACAATTCATTAGTTTTCTACCCTAGAGTCCTGAAATGTCAATAAGTAAAATAAATACTAGACTAGTGCACGCTATCTTTTATTTTACAACCAGCTTAGTAAGTTTATTTATGTCAAAAGATTATGTTTATGCGAATAGGACGCAAAAACAAATATTAATTGGAATGCATCAATAAAAGCTAGGTATTTTTCCTTTTACGTCACTTATCTGCAGTAATTGAAACTGGAAGATATAGGTCACGCGAGCGTTATCAGTGCGTAGTGGTTTCGCTCATAAAAACCGTAACTAACACGATCGATGGTTTTTATGCCATTATAATTGCGTTTTTTCTATAGGAACAAACTATTACTCGGTAGTGGGAAATGAAGCCGGTGTGGGTGTTGACACTAGGTGTTTTCACATTATATTAACTTAGCAGGATGTCGGGAATAGTTGCGACGTTAGGTGCTAAGACATTGCAGGCTTATCCAAATAAAATAAAAAACATTTCCGAGGACACGTTAAGACGTCTGAAGATATAAAGATAGCTTTAGGTATTTACAGGCGTGTGGTCTCAAAAAGTGGTAAACAAACTTTATCGTACCTCATTACCGGCAATACGATTTCAGTTGTATTTATCAATAACATATCGTTCAATGATATTAATTAATGTTTTTCTGAATTATCTGCTGTTGATGTTGTCTGACCTTATCAAAGAAGGATGGATTTTTTTGTTGTTTGTGTTACTGGAGTAGGTACTATATCTTTTATTTGAGATTCTCATATTCTAAAGTTACATAGTCTTGCTATGAAAAGTAATGTAAGAATAATATAGTTTTTACCGGCCTAGGTCAAAGGTCAACTGGCAAAGAATGCCGTATATGTCTTTAAGTTCGCCTTATGTACTCGTGACCAATTCTACATTTCCAAGTGAAAAACTGTGTTTAGCTGTGCATAATAATGCAAAATCCCAATAAATATTCTATCATTCCTTTCATTTCTTATTAAATATCGTAGCATGATGCAATTTACGTATTAAAATACTTAGAAACTTATTTACATTTGCAGTTTGGCGATAGTATCTCGGTAGATATCTATATTCCCCACGGCCAACCGTCTGGCATTGGGTCCAAGGTTCGACGAACTCGCTGTTGCCATGTATTTGTACGCAAACTGGGCTAGTTAGGCCAATGAGTTTGCCCAAATTGATTATGGGCCCAACTAAGCAAATAGTCTGATTACAAACTTGGTTAAGTAACCGTATTTGTTCGGCAAACAATTGGAGTAAATCTAATACAGTCAATAGTATAGAACTTCCTGATACTGTAGGCATTTGTGATTGTATAAATCGGTTTAATATTCAATCTTGTATAGGTAGAAGTTCAATATTATCCATTTAGTAACATATGTTTTCCAAGGTTTCCCTATATTATTCTACTAAGGAAAATATGAACAGCAAATCCAAAGATTCTGAGAGCTTATTAATGTTGGATTGTGAATTACAAAGTCTTGATTTACACAACAGGATTGGTTTTTGTATAATGCACATCCTTGCATTAAATTAGCTTGTGCCACTTTGATTTTAGTCGTTATCTATTTTACGCTTTTTACCTACTTCGTCATATTTCTTTAAATGTAGTAGAACATGGAGCACCTTCCATATGACTCTACCTTTTTATTTTTTTTCTATATTTTTATGACAACCTTAGGTAGCTATGAGACTCGCCCGTATTCACAAACATTACTGTGAGGTCTCACAGTGCGCGTGGACGCACAGGGTAACACATGAACTAATCACAAAGCTCTCTTCAACGCTGTACGTTCGATTTGCTGCTTCACTTAAAGCAAGCATCGTTTGTCAATACGGGCATCTATCTTTAACCATAGAGGGTTTTCAATAGCAAATGCGATTACTTATGGTATTTTAACTTTGTATTTTTTCTTCCCCAGTTGTATACTGCGACTACAATGGCTCGGGCCGCACGCTGCAGTGGGTCGAGGACTACATCGCCAGGGACGTGCTACCGACGCACGCCACCAGGTGTACGGCTCTCTCGTACACTTCTGGACAGAGCGAGATTTACAGGTGAGAATACTTCTTATAATATCATCATTTCAGACATAGGACGTCCACTGCTTTCATAGGCCTTCTACAAGATTTCCATATTGCCCGGTTTGTAGCGGCCTGCATCTAGCGCCTTCCATATGGTCGTGAGTTTTTTTCATTTCTGGTCCCATGGTATTTTAAAATCAACAAAGAGTATCTGTTTCAATTAATCTAATTTACAAACAAATGGCAATGATGAAACTGAAATAAAAAGTGTTCTAGATTACCTATACTTCAGAATAGCATTAGTTAGGCTCATTTTTATAGAAATCTACGCCGACGAAGTTCAAGGTTAAATCTTTCAAGGTCCGATTGAATGGAATCCTCTGGGCATGCTTGCTGCATATACGAGATATTAAATTAACCCTACTACGGCTGCTTTGGAACATTAAGGTTGTCCAGGCCAGCAGTGCTAAGAAAATTCACCACGAAACTCCCTGACTCATTTGTGAAAAAAACCTTTATTACAAAACCAAACGGCCTCATTTTCATTTTTTCCATCAGATCGGAATCGAAAGCAATAATCCGGAGTGCAGTGGGAGCATGTCCAGAAGACGTGGTGATCCTCGGGGCCACCCTGCCGAGGTTCCTCCGAGCCCTCCGGCCGGAGAAGGTGGCCCTCTTCGTGTCCTCCAGGGAGACGGAGCGGCTGCTCATCACGTGGAGGGAAGTCGGTGCTGAGGTAAGAACAGTTTTTAATCCACCATGGAGAATCTTGGCCTACATTGATATGCTTGATGGAAAGCGATGATTTTTCAATCGTCAGATATCTTATAACAGTAGAATAAAATAAATAACTTGTCAATTTGACATAATAAAATTTCCCATACTGAAATTATCAATGTACATACCAACTTTTCTTCAGTTAATACGATTGAAAAATCAGCCCAAAGAAAAACCATTGACAACATTACAATTAATTTTTAAGGCTGAGTTGGACCACCTATCTTTGACCGTAATTATAACGATAACCGGTGTTTTTTGTATGGAGTTTGACAGCTTTTTGACGTTTGTCAAAGTTAAAGTAAGATGGTGCAACCCAGCCTAAGTCTGACTTAACTATACAATTTAAAATCATGCACACACTTAAATAACAGTTCTAAACAAATTAGGGGTAAGTATCACAATAAAATTGAAGATGAAAAACATTTTATAACAATACAAATACTAATTTGGTTTTGGTAGAGCATTCTTCAAACAAAAGGAAAAAAAACTTTGGGATAGCCTTGACCGTCTGGTGTTTCATTTTGTCTTAACGTCTGGTATTCCATTGTATTTTGTAATTCTTTTCATTTAACAAACATTATACTCTTAAATCAATTTAATTTGTTGTACACAATGGGTGCTATTGTGGAACGTCTTAACATGTTTTTGTCTTTATCATCTCTTAAAAAAAATGCATAAATCGTCCTTTTTAATATCGAATTTCCCAAAGATCCTCTGTCTGAGAGTCTGATGCTCGTTTTCACCATCAATCCCTAATTTTTAAGTGACTCCTATGAAAACAAAATTCCTGTTATGTGTTGTGAAAGATCAATAAATTATACCTACTTAAACTGTTAGAAGAAACGGGCTGGAGGACGTAGCGTGGGCAGGCCTCCTACTAGGTGGACCGACAATCTGGTAAAAGTCGCGGGAAGAGCCTGGATGCGGGCAGCGCAGGACCGTTCATTGTGGAAAACCTTGGTGGAGGCCTTTGTCCAGCAGTGGACTTCATTTGGCTGAAACGAACGAAACTGTTAGAAAAATAGACCTAAACTTTAAACTATTCATCCTTGTGCACTAGTTGCGTAACTAAGTAGTACTACAGTTGTATGCACCATGCGTGGTATCGGCAAATTCCTCTCCTTATCGGCGCACACGCAGCCAGCCACGCGACTCCTGATGCATTTGTTATTTTCATTTTATTATTATTATTTATTAATAACGACCACTTGAAGGCTCCACTTTAGGTTATAGACAAATCAATTATGGTGAGCTTAATCGTTTCAGTGGTTTGGTTATTATTTCTTGTGTTATTAAGTGGCTTCAAACAGCCTGAAATGACTCAATAAACGGTTTTAGTACGTAACTATGTCTGCATAGGATTGACATTTACTAGACAACTGCATACTCGTCGTGTTTCTCGTTCTAACTCGTACTAAGGTTTAAGTTCCACCAGATATTCAGAGATTTCTAGATTTGCCTGTAACTCACCTTAGGTAGTAGGTCTTCTGATAAATTTTGCCACTTTTATTAGGCTCTAGATTCAACTAACTTTATAATATGGATTTTTGGGTACATAGAATCATATTTTGAAAGAATTAACGTAAATAACTTTAGCCCAAAATAAAAGACCAAACAAATCAATCCCTTGACGTGTGAACGACGATTTTCCGATCGCTGAAATCCGGCATGAGTCGAGTAAACACATGTACAAACATCAGACTATCCATTTTTGTTGCAAATTCGCTTCTATTCCAACTACATAAGACCCCACAGTAATTACCTTGACGTGCCGTCGTCTGTACTCGAACACCCAAAAGCAAATAAATTCTGTTGGCATTTGTTTTTAACTGTCAACTTGCCGTAAATTCCATCGTTTTAAATAAAGAATAGTCCTCTTCTTTTGTGCGCGCTTATTTAATTTATTTATTACTGGCAGTGTTGATTTTTTAATCTTTATTGCCTTGTTTTTATAAAAAATGTATGCAATCTTAGCCATGAAACTCATTTGTTAACTTTTTTCCGCAATAAAACTTTTTCTCTTGTAGGTTTACTTTTTAAAATAATACATTCGAACGATTTATAACCATTTCAGAAAATAAACTTCAGTTACAAACCTTCAAACCGGATCTAGTAATTCGATTCAAAGCCTAGCTCAATTGCCCCTGACAGCTTATCACAGAAAGTTCAATTGGATTAGGAAATACACGACTGACTTGTTTACTCGTACGTCTTTATTAGTTTACGTCGTGTTTCTGTTAACAAGCACATTTATGGTCGTATTTCGTGCCTATTTAGCGCTATAATAGTTCAGTTTTGTGTTTAAAATAGCAAAAACGGGAATATTCCTATCTCCACAACACAGGGTGGAGAAATGAGAGATAGGAACAGAGTGTGGAGTCCAGTGATGCTGTTAGTACATAACATGTAACAGTAACCCGATTATGCATTATACTATTTTTGGTCGAACAACAACAACCTACCTATTTGAATTTGATTTGATTTTACTGCAACTCATGTAGAGTGGGTCTTGCATAATGAAACTCAACCAATGTTACTTAACACTTAACACCAGGTGCGATTGCGGTCAAATACCTGCCTTGGCTAGCATAAAAAAAAAAAATGTCAGTTGAGAAGTCCCTAAGGAAAGCTGCTGTTTTAAAGCCATGAGTATAAGGAAACAAAATAATGTACAATTCGAAATTATAGGACTTAAATCAAACTGTACACAAATTAACATAAATGGTGTTAATTCAATAAACATAAAAGACGTAGAACACGGTGTTTAAAATAGCATTTCCATACTAAATGTCACTTTAAACAAGTGTTCAACGCCCGTTTAACTTTTTTTAATGCACCACAAAGTTTTATAGGCCAAGAGCTTCCTCATTGTGAAAATAAAACACTTTAAGAGCCGGTAGAGCCCTGAATGTCTGAAGTGTAATCTGTTATTGTGGACAATATTAAATGTTATTGATTACGTGTTTTATGATAATGTAGCTCATGCCGCGAAAACGTGACAAACGATAACGATTCACACACGCGTCATTCTTCATTTAAATGCATTGTAATTCAATAATGGTCAAGTCATAAAGCTTTGAATTAATTGACTCTTATTGTAATGTAAAATAAATCACATTTTAATGTAATTGAAGTGATTGCAGTAATAGTACTGCACTTGCAAATTATATTGCTGTTTTGCTATTGTAATTTGAAACTAACTGTCTAGACATACATAATGTACCTATTTTAAAAATATTTTAGTCTATCTTTTATCATTTAAAAGTTTTTACATAAGACGGAACAAAATGATATTTAGAAATAATAGCATTCTCAGACATTGTTATAGAATATCCCGATCTATTTTAGTGATTAATAGCTGCTTTATAAACCGAAAGAGAAATGAAGCTAAAAGAGCATTTCTCCGTTAATAAATCATACCAAAAAGCTTGTCCAGGTGAGTAAGTACACAATAACTCTACTATCTGAAAGAAAGAGATACTATAATCTTTATAAATGCTTATCTTATTGGAAAATTTACGCGACAAGACCGTACGGTCATACTATACATGCGTTAGTACTAACGCATGTATAGTTTCCAAAAATAGTAAGGCTCATTACAATTTGAAACTATACGCGACCATACTTTAAATATTATATGTAGAGCTATAATAATATTTACCTGCTACTACTTAAAGCTAGTATTCATTTTGTGCCTAAAGTAAGTTTCATACATATTATGTATGTAGTAAGAATAATAAGAATGGTAATGCAATATGAAAATTGCGTTTTTTCTTGAAAATACGTAAATTCAAATGTCAAATCAGGAAAATTTTCAGGTCTAATATTAAACTATTTATTAATGCAAAGTGACAGCATCTGATGCCTAAATCAAGAGCTAATTTAACCAACCTGACGCCTAATACATAATCTCCGACATAGACATATTGACTTGTAAGAAAATTCAGAATTTATTTACACTGTTTTAGGTTACTTCACAAGACTAAGTATACGTCGTATTTCGGTCAATTGATAGTTTTAGTACTGCTCTACTTTCTATTACACCCTGTATTGCCCTGTACCCCCAATTACCCCCCCAAAGGTCGCTACCGTGACGTACTACTACAAGTACCTAGCTGTAATTGAGTCACGGTCTACCGCTCATAGAATAAAAGCCTTTTTACAGCTTTGAGGCATGGCTTTCAGTTCAGTATAAGTAGTACTTGTAGTACATTATGTAGGTTACGGTAATGATGTCAGCCTTCTCCAATGCGGGTAGCGTGCCCGCGGCTCCTTACCCTGCACGTCCTTGCGTTGGGTCCGTAGGGCTGGGAACATTCGATGGTTTTGCTATCGATATTGTGTCGTCTTTTTTGTACGCTTTACTTTCATATCACTGACAACGCTTGTTTTTTATTTATTTTATCTTATCACACGTTGTTACCTTTTCCTATATTTTAATTTATAGAGTCTTCGGTTAAGTTTTTGGAACACAACATTTTGGTATAACTTTGCCGATGTGGCTACAGTTATTTTCCGTGTTTTTGGTGGTAATATGCATGAGTCCAATCGGTTTGGATGTGGAATATTTAACTTCACTCTACATCCTTTTTTATTATCTCCTTCATGATTTGTAAAAATTAAACCTTGTAAGATTACTTACAGCGACCATCCTGCGCATTGGACAGTTCTTGTAGATAATCTTTACTACTTTTGAAGTACGGTAGTATCGATAAACATTCCCTAACATCTCTAGCTACCCCGGGGTGACATAATCCGCACTAATCCGTGGTTATTTCTGAACATTACGACTGAGCCGTCCGATGTTTTTGCGTCGTTCTCAGGCGTATCGCTCGGGATGATCGAGCGATCGGTTTAGTGCTGACAAAGTAGATAACGTGTGACGTCATAGTTTATTTATAAGCAGATATAACTAATGTGATATGAGATGTATATTTTGATATTTTCATGATAAAAAATATAGCATAAACATACTAAATAGATATTTAAAGCGGACTATGGACTCGTGTAGGTAGTCAAAATTCAACTGGACGGTACGATTTTCTCGTATGCTGGTGTAGAATTTACAGTCGTTTGAGACCCTTTTTACCCGACTACGCCCGAAGAAGATGTGATTTCTAGTGTTCTTTTCATTAAAAACAAATCATTCACTTCAAGAACCCTATAAAACTATTTTGAAGAGAAAAATGTTGGATAGCGTAAGACTTGCAAACTGCTTGATGCACTACCGGCTCCCTTCATTTGGTATTCATTGGCAATCTTCGGAAGTAGTTCCTCAAAGGGATCGCTGTTTGGCGGTTTCTTCATCAACCGAGTTCTTGCTAAAGAGAAACTGTTGTAAATGGTTACGATGTTTTTAGCAGTTGCCTCGAAAAGTAGCGAATTTCGTCGCGCTTTTGTAATTTTCATAGTTTGAAAGAAAATTCTTCATTAACGTGAAAAAGTACGCGTAAATTTTTCATGAAATATAATAAAGGCACCGGACCTTTCCTGCGACGAATCGACTTCGTACCATTGACAATAACACCTGTTATTAAGTTTAAAATACGATTATTACATGCTTGTTATTGTTAATGTAATAGCCAACAAAAGCCTTTGTTTTCAAAACTTACATAAGTTTCTGTATAAAACATCCTGTATGAGTAAAAATGGGTCACAAGAACCAAATAAACTACGAGTATTTTGTGTGACACGTGTATTACGAGCTTTGTTTTGTGATTACGTCACATTATTTTGTGAAGATGTGAAAAAAGATGAAAATAATTTTGAAATTTTATTTTGGACTATTCATATTCTAAATCAGAACTTTTTAGAATGATACTTCATTCTGGTTTTAAAAACTTAACTAATTTTAACTTACCTGTAAATCAAGATTTTTGGTTGCAATGTAAAAAAGTAATTTGAGTTGAAAAAATAGTGACGTCACTGGCTAGTATTGCCATACAAAATCTATGGGAGTCTCGTTTTGACAGTTTTCAATTGATTGGTGGTGTAACTTTAAAACAAGTTTGAGTTGAAAAAATAGTGACGTCACTGGCTAGTATTGCCATACAAAATCTATGGGAGTCTCGTTTTGACAGTTTTCAATTGATTAGTGGTGTGAAATAGTCTATTAAAACATTTTATTACTGACTCTTTTCTATAAATGTATAAAACTGTTCTTGATGAAAGCCTTGCAAACCCGTTCCATACATCATCATGTAATGACTATGCATGCTAGTTGTAGGCATAAGGTCACACTGAGCCTACATATCAATTTGCCCATTAATTACCTACACACCTGTCTCGAGTGCTTTCCATCTTGTTGCTAACTACATTAACTTGATTGCAACACTGTTGGCACATGCATTACATACATACAAGTATATTTTTAAGTAATAGATCTTCGGAAGGCTCTTTAGTAGAGAAACAAATTTGTATAACATATAAATGTGTAAAGAAAATCACAAACGCTTAACATTCTAAGATTTAGATTATAAGGAAAGAAAACCGTTTAATCCCATTACAATGAGAAAAAATGTAAGCTTGATTTTCTTTTCTTCATTAAGTAGGTATCCGTTCATAGCTTCCTTTGTAATTTTCCTGGAAAATCTTTTTGTAATTTTAATGTCTTCTAATTATTTTTTCTTTCTTATTTAATTTGTTACACGATTTCTGTCGTTATTTGACCGACTTTTCTCTTGGCGCAATCGCATTGAATGTTGAATAGTTTAAAGCATTCCTGAACGATTTTCCGACCGTTTCAGGACAATTATGAGCATTCCACCATAAGTATTTAGGTCAGAATAAGCATTTATTTCAGTTACCACGCAAGGTTGTTCACCCTTGTTATTATTCGAAGCCATGCATATTAGCAGTATATCTATTCCATCGAATATATTCAGATCGGTGCGTACGCCGAATTCTGCACAATACGCAGATTAAGAGATAGGCGTACGTTAACCTGTTGGGTTAAACCTTCAAACTAAATCGATAGCAGGAATTTTGCTGCCTGAATGTAGTTAGCGCTATTAGAAACTGACAATTTTGTAAAATGATAAAAATATAGTTAAACAGAGGTTTAACCACAGTTAAACTAGAACAGTATGCCTAACAGTCAAGAGCAACATTCTTGTATTTTATTTTTTGATCTTGGAAAATGTAATAGATTATTAAATGTTTTTTCTTCAAAGTTCTATTATTATAGAACAATGAGCATTCACTAGGCTTCTAAATAGACAATCACTTTCAAGTTACATACTTGTATTAAACCAATGGAATCTTCCTACACATGCAATCGCTTACCTATTGGTTACGGTGAATTATCCGATGTTTTGACATTCCAATACCCACTGCCATACATTATGCATTAAATATCGCTTTGAATATTGTTTATTAATTTATGCACGAATTAATTACTCGTCAAGCAATCGCTTGCACATTTCGATGTACGAGCTATTGATATTATTATATCTGCAAATCATTTTTGCTCTTTTGGATGAAAATAAACAAAATTTTGAATACAACAAAGCACTATAATATTATCGAAGGCCTCTATCTGGTTCCCGAAAGAAACAAATGAAAAACAATTTGAAGAAAAATGGACTTCGGTCACACACAATAAGTTAAAAGATAAATTAATTATAATTTATCAGAAGTAACATTAAGATTTACACCTTTGTGTACAGAGAAGTCTTCTCAGAGATACACACCTGATAAACGAGTGTCGACCCTTCGCTTATCTATTCTACAACTTTTTATCTATTCTATAACCTTCCCCTTTTGTTCCAGATAATCAAGATACCCGAAACCAAAGAAGGGTTTATTGACCTGAACAACCTTGAGCAAAAATTGCAGCTGCACGCTGGCACAGGAAAGAAGATGATCGGTTTCTTCCCAGCAGCTTCAAAATTGACTGGTGTCTTGGCTGATGACGTAGCCACCACCTTGCTTCTACACCAATACGAGGCTCTGTCTTTCTGGGACTACACTCTGGTGGCACCATCCTCAGCTGTAGACATGAATCCGACCTTCCCAGGAGTGGATGAGCAGATGGTGAAGAAGGACGCGCTGTTCTTCAACTGTGAGAAGTTTGTTGGGGGAGTCCAAGGACCATGTATCGCTGTGGTGAAGAAAGAAGTGTTCAAAGACACGCCTTTGTATTGTGAGGATGTTGAGGTGAGGCTTATTGAAGGATATTTTCTTTTGCTTTTTTGGTATAAACTAAAAAAGCTTCTACGTATTTCGAGATTTTTTTTACCATTACTTAGGACTCCTTTGTCCTTTTACTCCGCCATTTTTTCCACATCGTGTTGTTGAAGATGATAAAGATGTTGATTCATGTAGTAATAAGTGCCTTTAATTGTCTTGTTACTTTTTGTAGCACAGAACCTAGATTCAAAGTCTAGCTAGGCTATATCATAACATCATTGTTTTGTAATCAGATGCTGTCAGAGAGAATAGAAGAGCTGAAGACTACAGAGGCGGTGCGAGCAGCAATCGTGATGCAGCTGCGTGATGCCGTCGGTCTTCAGATCATCGCGGAGAGGCAGGACTATATTACCAGGTAAGTCTACTATAGTAAAAAAAAAAGTATTAAAGTATGTTTATATCCGTTGTCTAGTACCCATACCAACCCATAGTACAAGCTTTGCTTAGTTTAGGACTAGAAGCGTAGTGTAAAATGTCCAATGATATTAAAAAAAAAATGACTGCACCACATACGTTTTACCAGAGGTGTCCTGGGGGCAGGGATCACACGTGACTTCATATGCACAAGCTGTATACTTATAGCAAAGAATTTTTAACAAAACGTACAAATTTTTTTTTAAATGATAGCATTAGAAAATCTCTCAAACATTTGCCTCTAGTAATAAAAAAAACCTATTGGATGTAGATGGTTGTTATTTTTGCAAGCGTTGCAATCGGGACTTGGCGTGGACTCGCATTGATGAAGGCTCAAACTAATGAGCTGGGTTATTTGGACCGTGATTTATTAGTCACACTGCACTCTATACTATGTTGATCATTGTATGGATGGATTTAAATTTTACCCTTGTCTCTACAAAGCCCTCTCTGTTATCTAATCCTACACTTCTGATGTGTTCGATTGATAGATAAACTTTAAAGCGATGCTTTATCATCCTACTAATATTATAAAAGCGAAAGTTTGTGTGGATATCTGGATGTTTGTTACTCTTTCACGCAAAAACTACTAAACAGATTTTGATGAAACTTTACAGTATTATTGTTTATAACCCAGAATAACATATAGGCTATAATTTATGACGATCTGTGACAAACTAAATTTCACGCGGGTGAAGCCGCGGGCAAACGCTAGTTTCAAAATAATAAGGTACTTTATAACAATAGTAGAATCCAAATCTCCTTGTCGTGTCGACTACAAAAGTACAAACCAGTGTCAGCCTAAAACTCCGCTACAAGAGATTAATTATTAAGATGAGATTAATGTTACGCAATGGGACAAAAATCAATTCTCATATCATTTCATAATAATAGGAAGATTATCTTCAGTCTCATAGAGTAAAAATTGCAGCCGTGATATTATATTTCTTAAACATTTGGAGAACTCGAGCAAAGAGGTATATGACATATTGCAAATAGTTTCCTTGATAATATCAATCGTTGGCGGAGAACGCGGAACATTCCGCCTGTAAACAATAAGTCCCGAAGGGCATCGATTGAACCCTGTTGATAAGTACTAACATATCACTCACCTTGATTTTTGTCACCTACTGACCTGACTGACATAATTTATGATTTGTAAATTATGGGTTAATAGGCCAGTAGAATTAAACACAAAAATTGATTAAATCGGAAATAATTCCTACAAAAGATTTTTTTGCTTTGATGGCTTCATTGGTTGCCCATTAAGACTCTCCTAAGTTTTCGACTTCGACGGAGTTGTGCTTAAGTGGTGGGGGCCCCCGAAAGGGGCGTTTTTTCGGTTTTCCGGTTATACCGCGTAAAGGACTTACCCTATCGAAAAGTGGTCTTCATGACGGTTAAAGGGCACTTAATCCTGCATTAAATAAGACCAAATTCATATGTTTTGGACAAACCGTTCTCGCGCTAAAGTTCGGCAAAGTAGAAAATATAGAAAGAAAGAAAGAAAGAAAGAAAGAAACATTTATTGCCATGGACATCACAGAAGACAAAAGATGTAAATAATAGAAAAAAAAGTAAATAAGACATAGGTGACATAAAATAAAACATACAATGAAAGTGAAAGTAAAACTGAGCAGTGCCACCCTGTCGCACAGCGATGTCCATCGCAATGGGACCCCACTCAGCATATGCCATGGCCCCCGGTGAGGGAGGCCACGACGCTGGTTTTCATATACGTATAATTAATGACCCTCTCCACGTCCAATGGCTTATTACCCACATGCTTCCAAGCCTTGTAAAGGGTCGCCTTAACCAGTGTAACCCTAACAAGGCTCACGAGTTTGATTCGCTTATCCTTGTTCGTCCCAGCCGTTCCTTAACTGCGGTTGCTGCACCTCTTCCTGGCACTCTCCTGAACGACTCTGTGTTACCTAATGTGGCTGCCCCTCTTCCTTGTACCCTCCTGTACGATTTCATTGCTTAGCCATATGCCTGGTCCAAGGTTCGACGCCACAAAATCAACTTCGTACGAGTGAAAATAGTTTAAATACTATTTCCCGTGCTTGCAACATTTTTCTTTACTGCTTCGCCTCTATTAGTCGTAGAGTGATTGTATATATCCTATAGCCTTCCTCAATGTATGAGCTATTCAACACAAAAATAATGATTTCAATCAAACTAGTAATTCTTAAGATTAGTGCGTTCAAACAAACAAACAAAAAACTCTTCAGCGTTTTAATATGAACTTGTTGGTGTTGATTTTTGGCGTCGAACCTTAGACCAGGCATACGGCTAGGCAACGTAGTCATACAGGAGGATACAAGGAAGAGGGGCAGCCACAGTAGGTAACACAGAGTCGTTCAGGTGAGTGCCAGGAAGAGGTGCAGCAACCGCAGTTAAGGAACGGCTGGGACGAACAAGGATAGGCGCATCAAGCTCGTAAGCTTTGATAGGGTTACACTGGTTGAGGTGGCCCTTTTCAAGACTTGGAAGCCAGTGGGTAACAAACCATTGGACATGGAGAGGGTCATTAATTATACGTATATTTTCTACTTTGCCGAACTTTAGCGCGAGAACGGTTTGTCCAAAACATATGAATTTGGTCTTATTCAATGCAGGATTATGTGCCCTTCAACCGTCATAAAGACCACTTTTTGATAGGGTTAGTCCTTTACGCGGTATAACCGGAAAACCGAAAAAATGACCCTTTCGGGGGCCCTCACCACTTAAGCACAACTCCGTCGAAGTCGAAAACTTAGGAGAGTCTTAATGGGCAACCAATAAAGCCATTAAAACAATAAAATCTTTTGTAGGAATTATTTCCGATTTAAAAGCTAATTCTACTGGACTATAAATAAACATTAAAGTTACCTACATATCTTTGTCAGAGACTGTATCGACACTGACTGAAGGCAGCGTCGTGAAGTCTTCATAATGACACGAAAGGCTTAAATAAGCGACCCGATATAATATTATAATCTTCAAAATTAATAATGATTGATTGTCATTAATTAATTAAGCTTAGACCATCCAAGCTGCGCTTCGCCTAGCAGGATTTAAATCTAGAATTTTATTTATATAAGTACGAGTACAACGGCATTATCGACGAATTACGAATGAATCAATCAACCTAAGTAATTTCTCACAAAATGTCATATTCAAATCTCTATATTTTCACTTAGGTACATACTCTTTGGTTAGTGGTTGTATTCAAGCCCACTCTACCAATCTCAGAATAAATTATGAGAACCGTAGTTCAAATATCGAGCTATTGATTTTATTCAATAGCGTGCGTGCTCTTCAGTACTGAAGAGTCATGAGTCGTGCCTAAGGGTTGCAACTCTTCTCTGTGCTAAGGGCCATTGGCAGGATATTTGATATTTCTACTAAGAAACTAAGGTACTGAGTAACTGGTAAGTGAGTATGGAATAGAAACATCAGTCTTTTAACAAGATGACGTTGAGGCTACATTTTGATCATACGAGATTGACACTGCCCTCGTAGAAAAAGTATCTATCGTTTTAATTTTGGAATCGCTTGACAAAGCAAAGTAATATATAAAACGCCAACCGAAGCGATTTCGGAATTAAAACTGTTTCTTTGTCTAGGGGCAGTCTTAGATTTTTTTTTTGAATTGGGATAGAATTTATATGATAAGATCAACAACCTATCTTTCCCAATTGGGAATAAAGCTGATAGAACACCAGACGTCATATCTCCCAGCATCTTGATCAATAAGGATCCGAATTTATCTAAATATTTTCTTAAACTATCCAAACAGCCACGTGTAAAATCAACATCGTTACCATCGATCGTTGTTTGTTATTCCGGTCCGAGGCCGATAGGAAATTTACCGCGTTCAGGTTCACGACGCTTTGACACATCAGCGAATGTTTATAGACGCCGTTACAAACACCTTTATGTTTTGCGAGCAGTAGCCAAGCATGTGAATAGAAAGCTGAAAATACGCCGATAATTGGGCATTTAATGAGCTAGACCTTGGCTCAATCATCAGTTTGATTCTATTTGTATGATTATAAATGAGAGTGAATGATTTTCCACCAATTAGCTTAATCTAATAAGAGCTTGTAATATTATGACTTTGACTTGACTTGGTTGTGTGAATCAAGTGCCACTTTAATAGGCAATCGACTTTCAGCAAGTATTTTTTGTTATATTTGGCATTGTTACGAAAACCAACACTGGTCATGAACATTATTAATTATTGTGTTAAAAATTCACAATGCTCGGTATCGCTTCGAATTCACGATAAGAAGGAAATGACCTAAATTTTGTTTACCAACATAATGCGAGGAATAAGTAATAAAAATTTCGTGAGCACGAAATATTAAGTAAACATGACTGGTTTCAATATAGGTTATGCCTTCAAATAACCAATGTGACTTTTCATAGATGTAGGTACGTTCATCGTGTAATTGGTACACACTGCACACCATGCACTGATGGATTTTATAACCAACAAATATATTCAATAACCAGTGTTCATTAATTGCAAAATATTTATATCCTTACCTTAGGATCTTCATCCTCATTAGATGAAAATGATTTTAGGGCAATGTTAAGTATAACCTGTCGTATCTTATCTATGTAGTTGTAATAAGAGATCTTTTGCAACAAAAATATTTAGCTTTTCGCGCTGTCGACTGTATATTGAACAAAGGATCCTGGCGCCACGTTTCTAACGTCCCAGTCAAACAATAAAACCAATGTTTGTCCAAACGATTTGCCAATATTTACATTTGCCATAGCTCAAAGAGATCACACTGTATCCGTAGCAATGGCAGAGTAATTTCTAAAAGCCTTGCTCTATGTTAAAAGTACCTGATCAATCCAATCATGGATTAAACACAGGTTTTCCGGACAGTCAGGACTATTCAATCTTGAAATTTTCGTACCCGTAGAATCAATAACACAATG